CTGGGTGTGAGCGGCGGGCGGGAGGGGCAGGGGCGCCGGAATCCGCGCGGCTCTGGCGGAGGGGGCTCGGCGTCGCTGCAGGGCGCTAACTGAAGCCAGGCATGGCACAGGGCACTGCCGAGCCCCGGGTCCGCGGAAGGTGCCGCAGAAACGAATTCCGACAGCGCCTTTCAGCCTTTCAAGGGCTGTTCACATCCGCATGCTCCCCTGCAACACAGACTGAGCAGGTCCTTTCATCCCCACTTGACGGATGGGGCAACTGTGGCTCAAGGAGAAAAGCGACCTCGCCAAGGTCACGCAGCTCATCCCGGCAGCGGCAGCACCGGAACGGCCGCTTCCGAGGGCCCAGGGCCTTTCGCTCTCTGAAGCTTCGTTTAGGTCAGGGACCCTGCCCCCTCTCGGACTGTGCTCCTCCTCCGCCCCAGTCTAGTTAGTCCTGGGAGGTTCTGCCTGGGGCTCGCTCCCTCCTCATCTCAGCCCACTCTGTTCTCTGCGCCCTGCTTTTGGCCCCTCAGTCCCAAACCTAGCCCCCCTCAGCGGACTCCTGGTCTTCACACCCAGGAGGCTACACTGACTCAGCCCCCCCCAGGAATCTGCCCCCAGGGTGAAGGCCAGATGTAGACAAGGGCAACCTGAGGGGGCTGCCCCAGACCCTGTCCAGATTCTCTGACCCGGAGGAGAGGGAGCTGGCCAGGGGGCCTGGGTGGGTCAAGGCAGCAACATTTCCACTCATCTCCCTTCCTGTCCACCTAGATGGGCAGAGATCTCCACTTCCCTCCCTCACTGCAGTGAGGTCAGGAGTCAGGGTTCAAAGGGGGCCCGTGGAGGGGGAGAGGAGGCAGCTCCTCTTCCCTTGCCACTACCCCTGGGTGGTCAGATGGGGTGTAAATGAGATGCAAACGCAGCGAGTGAAGTGTTCCAAACCCCACTTGTCCAGACTCCAGAAGGGAGATGGGGAGGGGCAGAGGGAGTTTCAGGGGCTGCAAAACAGAGGGGGGGTGGGATGGGGACTGGGACAAGGAGAGCAGCACAGGGAGTGGGGGGGGTGGTCCCTGGGCCTATGATCACTTGCACACCTAAGCGAAAGGAGGAGCCCTGCCCCTGGGCTCGGCTCGGGGCTTCCCTTCTAACTGCCAACTCTCTCTCTCTGTCCCTCCGAGTCCTGCACTTTGTCTAACCCTAACGCCCTCCCACCCCCAGCCAGCAGCTGTCTCTGCCCATCGCTCCCACAGTGAAACCTGCCTGGCCAAGTGTCCGCCTCCCCCACCTCACCTGACCCTGTCACTCATGCCTCCAGGGTAGCAGCTCAGAATGGAGCCCACGCCTGGACATTCCCCACCAGCATAGATGGGGCACTGGGAGTGGGGCACTGGGGTTCACAGCCACTCAAGAACTGAAGCTCTAATTTGACTATATGGAAAATTCACACGTGGAGCCTCTCCTCACTAGATGGGCCTTTTTAAAAGGGCCTCCCCAGACAGCTAGGTTAGGGCTGGTAATTCAGCTGGCTGGCATGGACACCCTGGAAGGTTACCCCACAGGTCCCTGGGGCTGGAGGACAGGCTGCCCTAGGGAGGCTCCCTCTTCCTATCAGCTGCTCTCCCCATATCAAGGCCAGGGATACTCGCTGATCTGCTGAAGAGGCCCTGAGAGGGACGATTCCACAACCCCCAGGGAGCCAGGCCAACCACTGACATCAACCCCACGAAAAACCCAAGATTCTAGGGAGTCTGAGCTCCATCACTGAGAAAGTGCCTTCCTTGGGGTCACAACCAAATTTGGCCATAGAGAACCTAACTGCTTCCTCTGTGCATGGCCTCCCACCCCATCACCCTTAACAAGTGCTGGCGCCCCTGCCTGTCCCATCCCACACCCCTTCACACCCTTCCCAGCCCAGGCCCTACAGACTCAGCTCAAGCCACCGTCCCCGTAGGTGGTCCAGGCTTCCTTTGCTTCCCACGTGCCTCCGCAGCCCGCCTGTGGCAGGACAGTGCTGCCCGTCCCTCAGGTCTCTAGGCCTCGTATGCCCAACTCCAGCCCTTCTTTTACACCTCTGAGGCATTTAATGACGTCGGCTTCTGGTGGCTGAGTCTGCCGGGGGACCCTCGGACCCCTAACTTGGGGAGTCCCGAGAGCGAGTGTCTCCATGACCCTGAGGGCAGAGGCCGTGGGCAATGCCCCAGAGCCCTCCTGCTGGGATGCAGAAGTTGCCCGGCCAAGGAGCTTCCCGCTCACGGTGCCTCCAGGGTCACCTGCTCCTTGCTCCCCAGACACCAGCAGAGTGACACTGTCCCAACAGATGAACAGACAACCCAGCCCTGCCTGTGCCATGGCCCGGTGCCCCGCCCCCACGCCCAGGGCGGGGGCGACACCTGGGCCCACAGGAAAAGAATGGAAGTCAGCACGTCGGCCCCGGCGGGGACCCCCGCCCGGGGGGCGCACGCCCAGGTCCCAGCCCGCCCCTGACAAGAGCCCATCCAAGCGCCGCTTCCCCGCCTCGCGCCATGCCCGGCCGGCCGCCTGGCGACGTGTTCGAGCGCCCAGGGCGCGGGCACGGTCCCGGGCTGGGCCGTGGGCCGCGGCGCCCCCCCTGGCGGGGTGGGAGAGCGGGAGCGCCCTCCCGGCCCCTCCCGATCAGCCCTCCATTCAGCCCGAGCCAGCTCGCTCGCCCTCCCCCGCTAACTTTCCCCCACTCACCACCCCATGGACCAGAAACTCAAAAAGTTTGCTTTTCGTGGCTTTGCGCGCCCCTCCGGCAACTTCGTCCGCGGCCATCGGGGTGGGCTCAGCGGCGCCTCTCACTCTCTCTCTCTCTTCCTC